CGATTTAAGATGCTAAAGCTATTGCAATCTTATTAATTATACTCGATACTTCCGCTATAGCAAATGCAATTAAAAAATCGATTAGTACGACGGCTTAGCTTACAGCGATTATATAACGCCGGCGAAGTACGCGAACTATTATAGTTTTTTCGAAGCCGAGCATTAAAATTGCTTTGCTATTTCGCATAAAAAAGACGGCAAATTAATACGATTTATAAAGAAAGAGCTCGCAGCTATCCGTTAAATTAATGTAGAAGCACCCAAAAAGATGTGCTGTACGGAAGCCTGGCTTTAAGGCTAGACCTTATAGTTTCACAAAAGAAGTGTCAGAAAAGGTGGGTGGAAAGCTCGTTGATTATTCTAGCTAAGAGATGTGTGCTTTTTTATAAAAGATGGGTCCGTCTAGTGTGGCCTTAGTAGCTATAGCAAGTACTTTATTAAGCAGGATATTTACATCCGTCCTCTTATAGAATAAGTAAGCGCCCTCGCTTATTATTAAGCAAAAAGAAAAAAAGAAGGTGTAGAAGAAAGAAAAAAATCTAATATATAATAAAGGAAGGTATTTTGTCTTTAAACTTTAAACATTTAATCATCTAAACTACGCTTCGGCAGCTTCTTTATAGTCTCTTTTCGTGCTTATATCCTCAACTCTTTCATTCTCTTTAAGCTAAAAAGGTCTTCTTCTTTTAATAAAGCTAGCATTAGATGATAACGTGCTAGCAGCAGTATTTTTAAAAGTGAAAGAGCGCGTATCGTTCTTGCGCTTATTAGTAGCGTCGTTGATAAGTATAAACTTAGCCGACGGAAGGTCAGCGAAGCTAAAATAAAGTCTAAAGCTATTAGTTAGGTCGTCTTCGTCTTTAAGCAAATCATTTAAGGCTTTTATAACTTTATCTAATGCGCGGTTTAAAGATTCCGATTAAGAAGATGATGCTTTAAGATCGTCGATTTAACTCGTGAACCGTAGTTTACGAGTAGATTTCGCACTTTTTAAATTGATCTTTACACTTGAATTGAAATCGTTAAAAGATAACTCAATCGATCGCAAGCTTTCTTTAAAATCTTTTAATTTGTCGGCGTTTATAAAGTCGTTAGCTCGGCGGCTCTTGCTTTTAAAAAAGGACTTAGCTCCGTAAGTTTTAGCTTCCGCATCTAACATAATAGTAAATCCTTTTTTAAATGCCGAAAACAACTTCTTTTTATGCTTAATAAAATGTTCTTAAAATTAAGTCCGAGATATAGCAAAGACAATAATCAATTCTTTTACTACTCGGAGTTCGTTCTAGTCTATTCTTCCGATCAAGGCTTCCGATACGAAACTAACGTAGTTTAGTTGAATTGTAGCGGCGAAAGGTTAGCTTAATTTATTAATAATTCTTTATCGAAAGGTTAGCGGCATGCGTCTTAAGACGATCGTGCAAGCGTGCTTTGCAAAGCTGATTTTATTTTCTAAAGTACTATCGTTTAGCAAAGCAATATAGTTGTTAAAAAAGATTGCTTATCCGCAAAAAGAATTCTAAAAAGCGTTTATATTTAAAAAAACACTTTGTTTCGTAATAACGGATATAAAAGTAGCGAGATCATTAATTATAACGAAAAGTTAACGCAGCGCAATATTCTTAAAAGCATTTAAAGTCTTCGACTTAAGTCTAAAAGCTTTTTATTTAGCGGTCTTTTTAAAAGTAGTATCGTAAGTATAACTTTTAAGCTAAATAGCTAAGCTTCCGATCTGATTCTTTACGCCGTAAAGTATTAAGTAATAATCTAAAACTTTATCTTTTATTCGTGAATTACGGTTCATAAGTCGTTTAGTATTAGCGTCGTGTTTAATCGCAATCATTCGAGTACTATTATTATATTTAAAAAGCTAAAAAGGTTTTAAGTAAGCGATAAGCTTATAGTTTCCGTCTTAGCGATTAAGTAAAGCGGTAAAGTACAGCTTATAATAGCTTCGAAGGACTTGCTAGGTTAAAGAGTGTATTATATTAAAAAGTGCATTAGTCGAGGCTCTTTTTAAATCATTAGTCCGAAAGTGGTGCAAGTATATCTGGATCTCTTTATTTATAATAGTGAGAAAGGTTTAGTTGCCGTACTTATCGTTTAAAAAAGAAGCTTTTAACATAAGCTAAACTTTCGTATAGCTACTCGCATTTATAATATTAAAGAAGCTGTTCTTTTAAGCGGTGTTTATCAAGCTAGTGCTTTAGTTCAGCTTATTAAAGGACATCGGCTTGGCTTTAAACTTAAAAAAGCTTAAGCTAGATATTTTCTTAATTAAAGTATTGCTTTTAATCTTAATAACGAACATCGATTAATTGCTCGAGTAAAGCATAAAGTTATTAAAAGCGTTAGTTTAAAAAGTTTTCGAGAAGGTCGCGTCGTACTTCGAATGCAAAAGCTGCAAAAAAGCTCGCGTCGATAGACTTGCGTAAAGTAGACATGATCGAAGCAATCAATTTAGCGTTCGAAGCACTATTAGCAAAAGATGACGTCGATTTTTAAAACAAAGCTAATAACAGCGAAAAGCGCGCAATAAGTGATTTAAGCAAAAAGGGTTTAAAAGCAAAAGGTTGACTTAATTTCGCTTCGATTGCTGAGTCATCTACTACTTGTAAACTATAGTTTACGAATAAAGTTTCGGATCCGAGCTCTTTTTACAAAACGAAATTCTAAATCTGATTCTCGTTAACAAACTTTATACGTTTTTCAAGCTCGTCGTATTCGCTTTTAATATTATCGAAAGCTAAAATTAATAAGTTATATAATAAGACTTTTAATCTTAGCTTTTTTAAAAGTCTTTCGTTAAAAATAGCGATTTTATCTTTTTACTTAGTATTGTTTTTGTTTTTTACGATTTAGCAAATAAGGTTGATTACCGTAGTATTAAGCTTAATAAATTTGCGTCTTCGAGCTATATTAGCTATAGTCTTTTAGAAAGCGACGTAAGCAACAATATAATAATTGATAACTTAAATAGCGTAAGCGTTAAAAGTACAGTTTTTTAGAATAACGCTTAATTAGCGAGCGCTACGGATTAAAGTGCATATAACTTTAAGGTGGTCGTCGTATAGCAATTAGCTTCGAGCGCCGTCGAAAGCTTTCTTAATTCGTTTATGTCTTTCGGCGTTCTTATTGCGTAAAGAGTAGATAGCAATGACTTTGATAGTAAATTAATCGTAAGCCGAAAAGAAGTTTTCGGCGTTTATGTTTTTTTTTGCGCATTCGGCTCGTAAAAACTAATCGTATTGCAAGATCAAGTCGTCTTTTTTACTTAATCTGTTATTAAAGTCGGAAGTTGCTACTTTAAGCATAGCTAATTGACTAGAATTGCTTATTTAGCGGTAAGTCTAAAAGAACTTATCGAAAGTCTTAGTAACTCGTCTTTCGAATTTCAATTCGAAACTCGATTATCGAGCTAAAGCAGCTTGCTCTTCGCTTATTAATAAGCTAAAAGATGCATCACGGACAAAAGCTTTTCTTTTAGCGGCGGCTGACTTAAGAAGCATATCTAACTCGTAAACTACGGTTTACGAGTTAAATATAAGATAACGAAATAAAAGCTGATAATAATAATAATTGATTAAGTGATAATTGTAATCGTTAGTGTTAATATAGTATTATATAGTTATAAAGAAAAAGTGGTAGTAATGTTGTTATAATTGTTGTTATATAAAAAAAGAAAATGTTGAGAAGAAAGAGGAAGAAGCTTTTTTATATAGGTATATTTATAAGGAAGACTTACTTTTTTTAATAGCAGTTCACCTTCGAATACACGTAGTTGAGCACGCTTAAAATAAAAGAACAGTTTTAAATAGAAAATAGGAAATAGCCGTATAAGCTTAAAACAAGTGAAAAACAATCAAACAATAAGAACAATCTGTATAAGACAAGTAAATAGCTAATAAAGTGAAAAGAACAAGAAAAAAACAGAAAATATAATAAAAGGCAAGTCTAAAAGTGAAAGTATTGCTAGGTAAAGTGTAAGGTGAAAGCGTGGTCCGTGCACAGTGCACGGACACCTCATCCTTGGCACGCTCTTACTACAACCTCGCTCTTAATTCTTAGTCTTAGATAATACAAGTTAATCAACTACACACATTAGCAAAGCTTCTTCGTGACCTAGTACTATCATCAGATTGATACTAGCAATAGGTTATGAGCCCCGAAGCCTGATTCAATTCATTCTAAGGTATTTCTAGACTTCAAATACCTTTTTCGGCGTATTAGAATACGTACCTTTCCCTTGACAATTCGTCACCGTGGCGCGCGATTCGTCAGAACGCGCTTCTACAGCACCCCTCGTCGCAATTGATTCTCAGTTGCAACTTGCTAGTATAGCGATAAGTGAAGCTAATACTAGCGGTTCTTTAAGCAAGAAGCAAAGGGAAGCTGCAGTCAAGGCAAACCTAGCTATACAGCAACATACTACGAAGAAAGGAAAGGCGGCAGAAGAACTGCTTGCTTTAAAGAAACTATTATTGATGCTTAAACCTAGAATCTCTTCATCACCCTTTTAACTACGCTACTTAACGCTACCAGACGTAGAAAGCTCACTATACGTAACAGCAACTCTGCCTAAAGTATACCCTCAATTCTTCCCTGAAGCTAACAAAGGTGAACTCTTATCTAGTGAAGACGAGTTTACTACTCCTTTAAAGAAGATCTTTAAGTCGCTAGCGCGCTCAGTCGACAGCGAACCTCCTCCTCCTCCGAGTCCTCCGAGTCCTTCCGAACCACTCACTACGACTATACTTATACGTCAAAAGAAAATAAGTTCGAGCTATAGCTTCAACTTACTTAAAGCTTTAAAGCTGAAAAGAAGTGAGAACTATCAATAATAGAAAGATAAAGTGATCAACATTGCTAAATCTAATAGAATTAGTAAATACATCAATCTAAAATCTAAAGCTTTAATACTTATAAAAGTCGACGAATGCGATAATACAATTAAGGCAAAAGACTTGCAAAAATAGCTGGATTAAGATACCGGAAAGTCACAAATGAAGCTTGCAATTACTTTGAATTGCAAGGCTAGTCCTTTAAAACACATACAAAGTAAAGCTATTGCTTTAAATATGTAGGAGTCTTTACGATATTAGTATAAGGGTTCTGGTACGGTCTTAGAATACAACGCTATTTAGACTTATGTCATAATCAAATACAACGATTACCTTTCTTTAGAAAAGTTCGTAATAGCTTTCAAGATTGCAATTACGAAGCTTAATTCGCTAGATATTACGCCGCCTTTATAATAGAATCTCGTAATGTTTATCGCTGCTTGCTTAAAGAAATAGCCCATTTGGGCTAAGCGCTAAAGATCGACTTTACGGATAGCGACTATTATATAAAAGAAAGCAGAAATCACTTTCGAATCTCTTATTAAAGACATCACCGACGAGGCTCGAGGCAGCGACTCAACTAAAACAATCAATAGTCAAGCTTTGTACGGTAACAAATCAAACTTAAACTCGAACTCGAATAACTCGAATGCGAATAATAAAAGAAGAAATAAAAATAGAAATAAAGGTGGAAATGCAGCAAACAAATCGAGGCTACAACAGGTTGCAGATAAGAGACTTGATTGCAAGCATTACAAGCAGCCTAAACCTTTACACTTTCTTAAGGATTACTTCGTTATCAATAAAGAGCTACGAAAAGCGTTTGAGAAGAGAACTAGCAAGAAGGCTATCTTATACTTCAAGCGTGTTAAAAACAAGAAAGGTAGAGGAAACAATAACAAAAAGAAGGACGATAAGGAAGTTAACGGAGAGATCTTTTCCTATGCGCTCCTTCTTAATAAAGAACCTCTAGCTGTTGCTATTGCAAGTAGCACAGCACATTATACGTCGTCAAACAAGAATCGTTAGCTCTACGATACAAAAGCAACTAATCACGTTTGCAATGATCTCTTTAAGTTTACTATTTATACAGCTAAAAAAGATCTACTCTTTATAAATATTATAAGAGGCTTAGTTCGCCCCTTTGGTATTAGCACTTGTATTATCAAATGCCTTAGATTACGAAGCTTGGCAAGCGTTATTGAGTGTAAAAACACGCTTTATATGCCCTAAAGTCCCGTCAATCTGTACTCAGGCCTAAAGTTAAGCAAAATCGGTAGTTACTTAAAAAGAGGTAAGTTGCTTACGGCTATCGACAAAGAGATCTGTAAGGTAGATGCTAAGCTGTTTATTATTAAAGATAGCCTTTGCGCACCTTTTGCTTTTATTACCAGCCACGCTTTACTTGCAGCTATTAAGAAAGCTCTTATTAATATTAAACTCTAACATAGACGTATGTGCTATGCTAGCTTACAAGCAGTTCGCGACACTCAAGGTAGTATTATAAAAATGAAGTTCAAAGAGACTAAAACTAGTAAAACACGTGTTTGCGCCCTTTATAAGAAAGGTCGTTTTATTCGAAAAACTAATAAAGTGTTAACACGCAAAAGACTTACGATTGCTTTACAAGAGCTACACGTAGATATAGTCCATTTGACTCTTATTAAGATTCACGGTTACAAATACGCTTTAATCTTCACTTGCCTTGCTACAATAGTTAAGTAAGGATATACTTATGCAATTAAAAGTGATGCGTTCTTTGTTAATAAAAAGATGATTCGCTTTGCTAAGATTTAATACAATCGCACTATTAAGGTGTAGCGCTGCGACGGAAGTAAGAAATACTCTTTTAAACAAATGAAAGAGTTAGCCGACCACTTTAGTATATTACTTAAAGAATCGACACTTTACACTTTCGAGCAAGATAGTAGATTAAAGCGATCTATTCGTACTCTAATAGAAAAGCTACGCACCGCAACTATTAATCAAGAGATTCTTAAGTTCTTATAGCCCGAGTGCTTGATAATAGTAATCTATATTATTAATCTTATAACTAACACTACTCTTTTAGATAGAAAGACTTTTTACGAGGCTTTTTAAGATGATATTAAGCTAAGGGTAATTTACAAACCTTCGGTCAAGCACTTGCGAGTACTCGGATGCAAAGTCTACGTCTTAATTAAGCTTGAACGCCGCGTACAAAGTCGCAAACTAGCGCTTAAAGCTAAAGTCGGAATATTAATTAGTTTCGAAAGCAATAACATTTAACGAGTATACGTTCTTTCTCGATCTAATAAGAAAGTGGTTCGTACCTTTTATATTCGTTTTAATAAAGATAGACTCGTTACCGAACTTACCTTTGAAAAAGAGGAAGAAGTGCTACTTAAAGCTAAAGATGACCAAGTTAACCGTAGTCAGCTTACTTTTAACTAGTACAACCAAGATCAAGAGTCTTTTAAAGGCTTTGATCACTACGTCTAAGATAGACTAGATTTCGATAATAATTTAAAAGAGACTAAGGACGAAGAGGCTATCGAGAAGCTCTTTGAACCTTACAGAGCTCCTTCTTCAAACGATAAGGAAGAGGTCGAGGAAGTCGAAAAGGAGGTTGTTCCCTTTGAGCTAAATGATAAGGCTCTTACTATTCGGAGACTACGCAAAATCTATCTTTAGGTTCCCTTTTCGGAACGAGTAAATACTCGGTCTAGCACTCGTAACGCTGCTGCAGCTCTATTAGCAAACGTAACTATTAAGGAAGGAACTAACACAAACACTTACTAATAGACCTACTTTAACGCTGCTGAGGAGTCACCATTTACAGACGATCTCTAGACCATAGAAGAAGCTCTAGCACGCTTAAATGCAGATAACTAGCGCTAAGCTATTATCAAAAAGTACTTTGCTTTTCGACGTAAAGAGACGTGGTCAATTATAAAAAAGCGTAATATCTTTAAGAGTAGACGTATTCTAAGCTTACGTCTATTATTTAAGACTAAAAGAGATAAGAATAAAAAGATCGAGCGATATAAAGTAAGATTCGTAGTCTAAAGCTATACACAGCAGAAAAGCCGTGATTACGATCAGACCTTCGCTAGAGTATGCAAATCAGTTATTTAAAAGCTCGCAATTGCTTTAGCTGCTCTTTACGACTTAGAGGTCTAATAATTCGATGTTGACATTGCCTTCTTAAATAGTAAAGCTAACAGCGACATCTATATCAAAGCTTTATTAAGATAAGTCGAATTCGGTTACACTCTTACTAATGAAGACTGCTTAAAGCTACTTAAAGCTTTATATAACCTTAAACAATCATTACGCCTTTAGCAGAAGTTGTTACGAAAGCGACTTGCTAAGCTAAGATTCGCTTTTATGAAAATCGACAATTGTATTTATATCAATAGAGACTTTAAAATCATAATTGTCACTTATATTAACGACTTCTTAATAATCGGTAAATCGAGATCAGTTTACGAGCAATTTAAAAAGGATTTGCACGACTTTTTTAATATCACTTGTATTAGCGAAGCTTCTTACTTCTTAAGAGTTAAAATCGTTAAAAACCGAGCAGCTAGCACTATTACTTTATGCTAAAACGCTTATATTAATAAAGTGTTAGACCGTTTTAGTATATCCAACTGCAAAAGTGCACTTATACTTTTTATAAGTAGCTCCGAAGTTTATATAGTTAAATTCGAAGGCCAAGCTACTTAGTACGAGATTACGCTATACTAGTCAATTGTTAGCTCTTTGCAATACTTCGCAACTCATATTCGGTAGGATATTGCTTACTACTGCTCTTTATTAGCTAAATTCTTAACTAATCCGTCACTTCAACATATAGCTATTGCAAAGCGCGTTTTACAATACTTACAAAGTACTCGTATGTTATCAATTGTTTTTAATAGAAAAGACGCTAAGCTTATTAAATTAGTAGGCTATTGCGATTCTGATTAGGCCGGCTTTAAAATAGGTCGAGTCTTATACAGCGGAAGAGTATTCTTCTTTGCAAAAAGCGTTTTTAACGTCATTTCTAAACGCCAGACTATTATAGTTTTTTCTTCAACCGAGGCTGAGTACGTAGCCATATGCAAATTCGCTTAAAAGGCCGCTTAGATTAAGCAAGTACTCAATAAGATTAGCTATAAGAAAGCTGACGCGAAGAAAATTGAGATGATTTGTGACTCACAAAGAGCACTCTTACTTTTTAAAAACCTTAAATACTATTAAAGAACTAAGCATATCGATATTAAGTTCTATTACGTACGCTATAAAGTGGCAAAAAGACGACTCGATCTATAGTATATTCTTAACAAAGAGAACGTCGCCGACGGTATGACAAAGCTATTAAATGATATAAATCACGCTGCCTTTATACAACTGCTTCGAATAAAGGTGCTAAAGCTATAGAGCTTAGCAAAAGGTGGTAAGGGTGTGTTATAGAAGGTTTTCTTCTTTTAGAAGTCGTACTTGCTATATTCGGTAGAAATTAAATAGACTATGCTTTTAAAAGTGTTTTTTACTTCTACTCTATAAAAAAGGTATATTAGTTTAAATACAATTAAAGTACTGCCGAGAGCTTTTAAGGCTTCGACAGAAAGGTGTGTTGCTAAGTAAAGTGTAAGGTAAGAGCGTGGTCCGTGCATAGTGCACGGACACCTCATCCTTAGCACGCTCTTATTACAACCTCGCCCTTAATTCCTAGTCTTAGATAATACAAGTCAATCAACCACATACATCAGCAAAGCTTCTTCGTAACTTGGTACTATCATCAGATTGATACCAGCAATAGAAAGAATAAACGTAAGAAATACTTTTCTTTATTAAAACAAAGAAAGTGATTATTGAAAGCACGTCTCTTTATAAAATAAGTGTAGAACAAAGAAAGGATAAGAAAGTAAAGAAAATAAAGTAAAAGAAACAGACTAAGAAACAATTTTATAAATTAGTTTTTGTTTTTTCGAAAGTATTAAAAAAATGATTTAAAAGTTGATAGACTTAAGTCTAAAGGTTACTTTTAAGTTAAGTAGTTCACTTTTACCGTCGTCGAAAAGCTCGTATTCATTAAAGTCCGAGTTGTTTAAGGAACTCGAATCTTCTTTTTCTTTTCTTTCGTCGTTCTTATTAAAAAGAAAAAAGGTTTGATCGCGGCGGTAAAATCGTTTAAAGCGGTTGGCTATAAAAGTGCTTTTAAGCTTAGTCTTATCGGTTTCTTAGAGTTTATAATATCTTTTATCGTAAGCCTTAAAAACGATATAAAGTCTTAGCTACTTGTAATCTAGCTTAATATCCGCAGATATATCGATGCTACGTTTAACGTCGTAAAGCAATACTAGATCTTTTTCTTTAATAAGTTCCGACTTCAAGACTTTAATTCGTTCTTAAGTAGCTTTAGCGGCGAGTCGATAACGCTTTTTCTTTAAAATGATCTCGTCGATATCTTCGTTTCGAAGTTCTAATTATCGAAACCTTATAGCAAGCAAATTAACGCGAGATCGAACCTTTTGTTATAGCAGTAACTTTTAGATTAGCTATCGTGATTCTAAAAGTAGCTTAACTTCTCGTTCGTAATTCAAGAAAAAAAAAGTAACTTTAATAAGTGCGTATATCGATGTCCGGACCGTAAAAAGCATCTTATTAAATTTGCGAACTTAATCTTTGAATCTTTCGTTTGTAACCTTCGATAAGCTATTTAAAATGTCTTTATAGCTTCTCTTAATCATTTTATTAGCTTTTAAATTATAGCTCGAGATTTGAACCCTCTTGATTTTATACTTAATAGCGAAAGCTTTAGCAATTGCTTTGTTTTCGAGTCTTCTATCGATAATCAATCTTTCGAATAATTTATAACAGCAAACGATATCTTTTTAAAAGAATTTAACAATAGATTCGGCGTTAGCCGATCGAAATAGTCGCTTTTCTAGCTATTTAAATAAATCTTCTTTAGCTAATACGAAGCAAGTTATCTTTTTATCGATAATAAGTACTCGTGATACGTTTAAGCTGACTTTTGATTATATTTAAATAAGTTAAGTCGAGTATAAAAAGTTTTCTATTCGTTTAGCTTTGCGTTTCTAATAAAGCTTATAACTTTAAACGAAAGCTTTGCAATATTTATAGCATTTATTTTAAAAGAAGAGTTTTGATATGCGGTAATAAGTTAATTCAGCTTTTTTATATCCGGATTCTCGATAAGCGTCGGCAATAGCAATATAGCGTTTTTAAATTCCGTCGACAACTAGTTTAATCGAATAAGAATTGTTTGCTCGCTTGTAAAAGTAATTATTTTTAATTAAGTAGTTAAGTGCTTTGTTTTTAAACTTTTAAAAGTCGTAAGTTTTAATCGAAAGAAAGCGTTTAAAAGTAATAAAGAATTGAGCAATAAGCTTGAAGTCGGGCGAGTAATCGTGCTTTAAAACTCTTTTTTTAATCCGTGAACTATAATTTACGAGTCGTTTAACCGAGAATACTAAAACAGTACTTAGCTCGTTAATAACTTAATCGTTAATATCTTTTTCTTTTCTTTCTTTAATGTTTAAAAGATGCTCTTTTCTTTTTTTAAAAAAGCCGTCCGCTATTGTGTTTTTAATCTTAAAGATATGCTTAACTTTAAAGTTCATTAATCTTATTTACGCAATTTAATTCGTAACGAAAGCTTTAAGCAAGTCGTTCGCTAACTCGTTAAATTGATCAATTAATACTTTAGCGTCGGTTTTTAAAATAAAGTAAACTTCGTATAATTCGCTCTTTATCTTTTTTATAGCTTTTAAAGCATCGCGGCATTTTCGCTTAATCGCGTCGTACTTGCTTTCCGCAAAGTTTTAAAAACTACTTTCGAACTTAGCAAAATGTCGCTTTTTATCGAAGTCTTTTTATTATAATATTGCTTTTTATTTTTTAAGACTAGCGTTTATCGTTAAGTAAATTTTCCTTCTTTCTTTGCTATAATAGATCTTAATAAAAGCGAGAGCAAAAAGCAAAGCTTCCTTAAGCAGCTTTATCGCTTTTTGCTAAGGCTTTAACCATTCGAATTCGACCTTCTTTTTTATAGTCGCGTAGATTAAAGCAGCAATTATAAAGAAGTTTTTAATTTAAATTCTATAATAAACTACGATCTTAATAAAAGCTCGGGCTTCTGATATATCTTCGTATTTAATCTATTTTAGTATTTTCTTAATCTTAGCGGTCTAAAAGTAGCGTCTTTCGTTATCTATAACGAATTTAACGATGTTAAAGCCGAGCATATAATATTAAGACTTAATTCCGACGGTCGTCTTAGCTCTTTTAAACCTTACGAGCACTTTATCGATGTTTTAAATATGTTTTAAAACGAATCGTCGAATTCCGAGCAAAACTTCTTAATAATTATAAAAAGATCGCGATCTTTTGACTTTTACGTTATTTATATAAAGCAAGCAAACGTTAAAAATATAATCTATAAAGATCTTATAGATGACTTTAACGAATTAAGCGATCGAATTAATAGCTCTTATAAGTATCCGAGTCATTCGAAGCAATCTGATAAGCGTTTAAATAGCTATTATATCTTTAGACTTAACGTCGAAAAAGAATTGATTATATTTAAAAAAAAAGTTTAAAAGTGTAACTATCGTAAGACCGATAAATTCGTTCGAGAACTAGTTTACGTTCGAAGCAACATTAGCGTTTTTAACCGT